TTTCATGGACACTTGTATTTTCAAATTACCAGCCAGTTCTTCCCTATTCATCAAAATCAAATCTAGAATAGACTCTTCCCTAGCAACTTTCTCCAGCTCCTGAAATAAAAAAAATGTCTCCAATGTATTCCAAGAATTTGTGGAATATTCTGTGCCCTGCTGTGCTATTTCCCCGACAGATGTCTGGATAATTGAAGTCCCCCATCACCACCAAGTATGGATCATTATCATAACATTGGGTTCTGCAATGTTCTTGTAAGACTTATGTCTTCTAGCTGCGTCAAAGCAGTTTCAGCAAGTTCTCCTTTAGTAGAAGCTTTGAGGCACAGGAATGCAAGGAAAGATTTTTTAATAGAAGCTTCTTCTTAATCTGGTTTTACATACTGAAGAATTAAAAACATTTATTCTATAGGTGAACAAATCCAGTGTCCAGCAGAACAACAAATGCAGAATATTTTGCCGCTTTCACGTCCATCAGAATTTGCCGATTAATTATTTGACCCTGGAGTTGAAGGAACTGCACATTGGTACCTGCCACCATTTTATCCAAATGATTTGCCAAAACAGGCTCATATAGTAACTTATAACTCAGTCACTCTGAGGAATTTTCCATTCCATCCGTCTCTTAAGTGTTTAACATCACTTCACCCAGAAATAGCATGACATGTAGAAGTTGCTACAGTATTAAATGGCAGTAGTGAGATGCGTGTGCAGTTCTCTCTAGGCTCAGTATCAGTTCATATGACCCTCTTCTGATGCCTCATGTTTCTTTAGTTTAGGTTCCAACTTCTTCCCATGACGCAGTGTGGCATTCTATACCTTGATGAAACCTGGTGGGCCAAGGAGCTATCAGAACATCATCCTCAGCCAAAGCACCATCCATAGGAGCCCTGGTGGTATGTTCACCCAGTTCCATTGCTACTGCAGCCAAAAGAGGCACAGGAAGGATCCAAGCAACTAGGTGATTCTCTGGCACCATAGCATTAGAACCGGTTTGTGCTTCCTGTATTCTGCATCCAACCCTGTCCCTGAATCCTGCTCTGCTCCTGCCTCCTTGCTTTTGCACCTAGTTCCCCCTGTGCTGCTGTTCCATGCTCTCTTCTTGCCTCTCCTCCAGCCCTGTCCTTACGCTTCTCTCCAATCATTGGTTACCAGGCCTGGCACTGACCCCTAGCTCCAACTTTTTACTCTGCTGCTGACATTCGATATATGACCCTTGCTCTGAAGCTCAACTTTGATTCCTATATCTGACTTTGGCTTGATCCCTGTCACTGGTCACTGTCGTACCTCGGTGTTTTCGTACCTCGGTACCTTCGGTGGTCTGGACTGTCAGTGTCAGCGTCATCTGGTCAGGGTTGTCCTGGCGCGCTCCTGGCAGGACCTCTACTCCGTCGGTGATAATAAACTTTCAGCTGCGTGCGTAACAATCGGTACTCCCTTTATCTAGAGTGTTAGACCCCGTGCACTTGGGTCAACACAAGAGATCTCTGAGAGGCCCTGGAAACGACAGATGTAGACAAGGTTTGAAATCAATTGAGCAGGTTTATTGTCAAATGCGAAGCTCTACCAGTTGGTAACAGAGATCAGTACAATGTTACACCAGTGGGCACTATGGCCCGCGTTGACAAGGTACCAACACCAGGCAGGGCTATTGCCATATAACAGATATTAACAGCAGTTAGTCAAAGTTAAGCTACTGTGCGTTCTGTAAGTTTAGGCAATGACACCTGCCGTTCAGGCGCCTAGTGCGCCCCCCACAAGGTCGGCAGGAGAGTGCCCTCTGCGGTGTCCTTTTATAGACAGGTATAACAACTTACATCATTTCTTTATGTACCAGGTTACTACCCTCTGTTGCCTAGTTACCACCCCTCACCTTATGGAAGGGGGGCTTACTTACTATCCTTCATGCTGTCAATTCCGACCTGGTCCTGAACCTAGGTTGGTATGTGAATTAGTTTTTAGGGATCCTGGAAGGAGTTTAGACCCTGTGGTGAAAGGATGAGACCCCCGCTGTGCATATTCTGTCTATTTGTAGTTATGTGCTTTCAGAAGTGACTAGGAAAGGTTTCTCCAGTTCTGGTGAGTCTTGCTCACTAGATTGCAGGCCTGATGCTGTTTTCATGTTACAGGCCTCTCTTCAGGGCTGCTGACTCCATGTTACTGACCCTCAACTTACTACAAGCATCACCCTGAGTTCCCCAGGAGCAGCCGTCCTACCCTCCCACTGCCACTTCCACCCTGCGTGAGATTCCTGCTGTGACCACTAGGCAAGGCTACCTACATCCTGCTCCCTAGCAACCTGAACTGTAACTGTTGTTCTTAGAGATGTGGGCACAAATGTGTATTCCATTTAGGGAATTTTGCCTAGCAATGCCTGTGGAGCAGCAATGGGCAACCAGGACCGGAGAGTGGATCACATGAATGGCCCTCCTTCATCTTAGCGGGCCAAATGATTGAAATCTAGTGGTGGGTGGCTTGAGGGCTGCATGCAGCCCACTGGGGTTCCACCTGCAAATGGCCCATGCACCCCTTCTCTGTCCCTTTCCCCAAGCCTCTCGCACTGGGGCACTGGAGCACTGTGTTTATCTACTCCTTCCTCTCAGCACTTTTGGAGCACCGTGAATTGGCTGATTTGTGCTCTTCCCCTCCCGCAAAGCCTGAACCCTGCAAATCAGCTGATTCACAGTGCTCTGACAGTACTGGGAAGAGGGGGAGGAGTAAGTAAGTACGGGGCTCTAGCGCAGAATCGCAGTCTGAGCTACTAGATGTGATGTTGTAATGTTGGAGATCATCCATGCAGAGATTGCTTGAGCCGCCATTGGTCTGCACAGGAGACCAAAAGGTGAGCAAAGAATGGAAATGTCTAGTTATATACAAATTAAAAGCTACATGTTGCCCGACATCAAGAAGTCATTGTTCCTCTGGACTTGAAATTGGGTTAAAGGAGAACACTGGTAAATATACAGCTTGGTTTAGATGAAACTGAGAAACAAGCCTCAACAAAAATTTAGGTCTTTGGAAAAATATGTTTGGGGACTTTGCCACCGAGGCCTGTGACTCACCCACCATCTCACCCACCATCCTTTCAGACGTTATTGAGAAGGAAGGCTGCCTGATAGCAAAGACAGAGGAGAGAAAGGCGGTTCCACGGGGAGACACTAGGACAGGATAAAGGTCCCACATTTCACAGGCAGGTGGAGAAATCTCACTTCTGTGACAGAGCAGAAGGCTGAAGGTGCTATCCCTAGGATAGCAACCACACTGAGAATCACTTCCACTTGGTCAAATAGGAGGCTTTGGTGGAGGGCTTTCTGCTATTAGAAACGCTTGTTGGACAGCTTCAGAACATTATTATTCCTCCTCCTCCTCATCTAGCCATGCAGCATCCAGGCCACGAGATGCAGAAGTACTGCAGGCAATGGTAGCTGCAGGGGTGCTGCCTGCGTGCCAGGGCAGTGTGTGGGGCCACCTCCCCTTTCCCCAGGGCTGCTGAACGGGAGCTGCCTGAGGTAATCATCTCACACCCTCTCCTGCATTCCAACCTCCTACCCCAGTCCTGAGAACCTTGCGCACCCAAACTCCCTCCCAGACCCCACATCCCAACCCTCCGTCCCAGCCTTGAGCCCACCTCCTGCACCCAAACTGCCTCCCAGAGCCTGCACCTGCACCTTCACCTGCCTGCCCCAGCATCCTATTTCCCACCCAGACCCCACACCTCCACCCCCACCCCAACCTCCTGCCTGGAGTCACCTCCTGCATCCCAAGCCCTTGAACCGCACCCTATCCCAGAGCCTGCACCTCCAGTCAGAGCCCTCACCTGCTCCCACCCTCTGCCCTAGCCTGGAGCCCCCTCTTGCATCCTGAACCTCTGCACCCTCCCCCACAGAGCGGTAGGTGGCCCATGACTGATTTTTTCTGGGGGTCAGTAGCCCCTGATAGGAACAGGGTCCTCTCCCTCCCCCCGAGCATATTGGGCCATACACTTTCACTGTTGATGAAGACAGCTGTGATCTTGCCATTCCTGACTAGTAGCTGCAGGCGCTTTACGTTCTCTGAGTAACCGTGCACTGCTACTGAGAGGGCCGGCAGCAGCCATGCATACGGTCAGTATAAAGGAGTACAGTCTCCACCATGGTGGCAGCTGAAGGTCAGTTTCCCAGGCCTTTTAGGTCTTATGGGTTCACCATCTTGGATGAACTCTACACAACAGCAGGCGCATGATGGGCCCGTCATTGCCCCACACTACTCTCGGGGAAGCTCTGCAGGTAAGAATGGTGCTCGCCAAAAGCAGGTCCATCTGCACTTCCTGACTCCCTTGGTTAGTCAACTTCATGGCCAACAGTGCCAAAGGCTGCAGATAGAGCTAATTGGAGTCATCTGTAATGAAAAGAGCATGCAACATAGGGAAGTTCTAATTCCAAGTTGTAAGGTGGCCAACTCACCCTCCAGAGCGGCCCCTTGTGTCAGGGTGCAATGCTACCAGGGGCCTCTCCCCGGGCTCCCTGGCACTTCCCTTGGGGCTTTTCAACCAAGCCCTACTTCAAGGCTTATCCCCACGGGAGCCGATTCTATCTCTTGTGGGCTTCCCTCAGCCAGCAGCACTGCTGGGCCTCTCGTGAGACAGCTCTCCACCTTCTAAATCTAAATAATATTTCCTCTGTACTCTTCTAAATGCCTCTTTCTAGCTCAGCTGCTTCATTACTAATTAGCTAATGGGGCACCAGCTGGAGCTCCTGAATACTCCCATGTGTAGCCCACAGGGTTCTTGTGGGTCAATTAGGCCCTAATTCTCCTGAAGGGCCATTGTCCCCATGCAAATATTATTATCTAGTCACTGCTATTCAAAGAACAAATGGATACAAACTTCTCTTTCGGTGTAGTTTTCTCTTTAAAAGACCCAGCAGCTGCACTTGTTTTTGCTGCAGGAAGCTCTCTCTTTAATGGGGAGAGGAGAAAGTCCCTTTTTTAAAATAACAAGAAATTCATTAGCACTTCTTGTTCTTTTTTTTTAAGTCACCATTGTAGATATTTTGATAACACATCATTTTACACATGTGTGGTCTGCTGATGTGGTAGCTGGAGATAATACTGCTCAGAGTACCTGTAGGAGGCTACTTTTTCTTTCTGAGTTCCTTCTAGTTTTTTCAGGAGCAGAACATGTCCTTTGTTTTTGCTGTTCCGTCTCCTCTTCTGTCTTCTTTAAATCTTTTGACCTAAAAAACATGAACAATCACTAGCGTAGAGCTAAAATCCAGCAACATATTGATCATTCCTTTTTCCTGAAAAAGGCCTTTTCATATCAGCAAGAAATACTAACCAGCCAAAATCAGCATTAGGGTTTTAACAAATATCTTCCCTCTGGAAAATCGAACTCAGACACTTTTGCAGACGAATAATCATTTAACTTCCCGATCTCCACATGCTATGGCTCTGCTTTGATTTGTAGCCACCCTGTGGTGCTCTGCAGAGCAAAGGCTTCCTCTCAGGCCGAGGCTTTAGGCTTGCAGCTGGGCACAGAATGTCCACACTAGGAAATTATTTCAAAATAACTTATTTCGAAATAATAACTCCCGAAATAAAACTCTGGTCATCTGAAGAAGTGGGCTGTGCCCACGAAAGCTCATGATACCATCTACATGTTTTGTTAGTCTATAAAGTGCTACCAGATCATTTGTTATTTCAAAATAGCATGTCCACACTACAGAGAAGCCTTGAAATTAGTCCAATGCCAGCTCCCTTACTGTGGACGCGCTACCTCAAGTTAGAGCCCCAGGAAGCACTGGGGAGTAATTACTTTGAATGACTCTGGGGAGTAGTTATTTTGAAGCAGCAGCAGAGTGTCCACACGACCACTATTTTGAAATAACTTTTGAAACAAGCCTTTTAACTTATGGAAAGCAGGAGTTATTATTTTGAAATCACCAGACCCTGGTTATTTAGAAATAACAGGCTTGCTAGTGTGGACACACCACTTGTTATTTCAAAATAACTCCCTAGTGTAGCTCTGGGATGAGGGATTACAGCATTAGTGCCAGTTTTTTCCTGAAGGTCTAGCCAATAGTTACTTTCACATGTCATGCTGGTGCTGACTTGGCAGTGCGGTTCCAGATTTCTGTTTTCTTTTGACCACTAAAATTGGTCCTTAAACTCATTTTGCATCATTAACTGATATTGCCCATTCATCCAAGAATCCTAGAGAAGTAAACGTCGTGATATGGGGCCAGGTTCTCTGCTACATTTAGTTACCGATGAGCAAAATGATGGTGGGGAGGGCTTCAGGGCTTCCTGATTCTCAGCCCTAACCCCACATCAGGTGGCAACATTCCCTGCGGGAGAGACCATCTGCCTAGGAGCCTGCTATGCAGATTCTGCAATCACCAGAGACTTCCCCCACCAACAGTATCCCCAGGATAGGACTCAGAGGATGTGAAGGGGGGGATCAGGACCAGGGAGCTCTGAGCACTGGCAGCTTGTCCAGATCAGGTTTACAAGGAGAGGGAGGCATGATGGAGCCATTTAATCAGATGGAAATGTCTGTCACTTGTCTCTTCTGCGGTCAGTTTGTCTGACTGGCTCACTGGCTGTGTTGCCTGTGAGCAGGGTGGGCGCAGCTGTTAGTTTAGTCCCGCACTGGCTACCTGGAAAACCTGTGATGGGGCATCTGCCCCACAATGGCCTTTTTAGGCTAAATCCCAGAGGGCTGAGGGTATGTCTACACTACAAAGTTAGTTCGAACTAACGGACGTTAGTTCGAACTAACTTTCATAGGCGTTACACTAGCGCTCCATTAGTTCGAATTTGAATCGAACTAGCGGAGCGCTTAGTTCGAACTAGGTAAACCTCATTTTACGAGGATTAAGCCTAGTTAGAACTAGCTAGTTCGAATTAAGGGGTGTGTAGCCCCTTAATTCGAACTAGTGGGAGGCTAGCCCTCCCCAGGTTTCCCTGGTGGCCACTCTGGCCAACACCAGGGAAACTCTTCTGCCCCCCTCCCGGCCCCGGACCCCTTAAAGGGGCATGGGATGGCTACGGTGCCCGTGCCAGGTGCAAGCCTGCCAGCACCCAGCCAGCAGACCCTGCACCTGGCACGGCACAGAGCCACCCACCCGATGTCCCCCAGCCCACCCCCTCTTCCCGGGACCAGGCTGGCGGCTCCCGGGAGCTTGCCCTGGACCGCAAGAGGCGGGCACCTTCCTGGGCTAGTGCGGACATCATGGAGCTCGTGCATGATCTCCGCACTAGGCACAGGAAAGTGGCCGTCTAGGGCAGGAGAGCTGCCAGCCTGGCCACCCAGGAGCAGGTGTGCATGAAAATCAAGGGGGTCCACTGAGACCCCCGACCCTGAGCCCTGAGCTTACAATGGCCGTCCTGGGTCAGACCAAAGGTCCATCTAGCCCAGTAGCCTGTCTGCCGACAGCGGCCAACCCTAGGGACCCTGGAGGGGATGGACCGAAGACAGTGACCAAGCCATTTGTCTCGTGCCATCCCTCTCCAGCCTTCCACAAACTTTGGGCAGGGACCCCACTCCTACCCCCTGGCTAAGACTACTCCATGGACCCAACCTCCATGACTTGATCTCACTTCCCTTTCAACTCTGTTCTAGTTGTAGCCTTCACAGCCTCCTGCAGCAAGGAGTTCCACAGGTTAACTATTTGCTTTCTGAAGAACAACAACTTTCTCTTACTAGTTTCAAGCCTGCTACCCAGTCCTTTCCTTTGGTGTCCTCTAGTCCTTCTTTATGGGAACTCAGGAAGAACTTTTATGAATGCACCCTCTCCACCCAACCCCTGCTTTTAGAGACCTCTATCCTGTCCCCGCTCCATCTCCTCTTTTCTAAGCTGAACAGTCCCAGTCTCTGTAGCCTCTCTTCATCTGGGACCTGTTCCCAACCCCTGATCATGTTAGTTGCCCTCCCCTCTCCCAGCCTTTCTCTTCCCCTCTCCTACCTCCTTTTCCCAGTCTTCCCCAGTTTTGTTCAATAAAGACAGAGTCAATGTTGGAAGAAACGTTATCTTTATTTTGTACATCAATAAGAAGGGAGGCTAGGGAAGGGTAAGTGGAAGGAGGTGAGGGAGGAATGGGATACGAGCCCCCGATGGGGAGGACTGGGCTGGCTCTGCGGGCTTCTGGGGGTGGAAGCTCTCCTGCAGCCCCCCGATTGCCTCCTCTCCCCAGATGGCAGCCTGCGGCAAGTGCAGCCGGGCTGATGGCTGAGTGCTGTGATGTGCCCAGTGTGGGTGCTCCGGGCAATCCAAGCCAGGACTGCTTTGCAAGCGGGGCACCCCTGAGAACTGTCTGTCCGCGGTGGGGGTCGGGACCCTTTAAGCGCAGCCCTCGGCTAGCCTGAGACAGCATCTCCATGCTCTAAGTCCTCCTCTTATGCCCTGCCGGCACTGCTTCCGGCCATCCTTAAGCCCTGTTCAGAGTCCACTCAATGTGGACTTGCTAGGTCGAATTAGCAAAACGCTAATTCGAACTAGTTTTTAGGTCTAGACGCGTTAGTTCGAATTAGCTTAGTTCGAATTAACTAATTCGAACTAAGTTAGTTCGAACTAGCGCTGTAGTGTAGACGTACCCTGAGAGCAAAGACCACAGTGGAGGCAGATACTGCCAACTAGGGCTTAGCTGTATAAATAAGGGCTCCAGGAGGGAGGAAGAGAGAGATTCTTGCTTTAGCTGGGGAGCAGGAGGAACCTGGTTCCTAGGATCAGAGGGGTAGCCGTGTTAGTCTGAATCTGCAAAAGCGGCGAGCAGTCCTGTGGCACCTGATGCATCTGACAAAGTGGGTCTTTGCCCACAAAAGCTTATGCTCCTACACTTCAGTTAGTCTATAAGGTGCCACAGGACTCCTTGCCGCTTTTCCTGGTTCCTAGGGAAGCTGGAGGCTTCCTGAGACAGAGCAGTACTGGAGAAAGGCAGGCAGAGCTGGGGAGCCCTGGCCTGAACCCACTCCCAGCTGCAGGGCCTGCGGTAAGGCATGAGGGTACCTGGGCTGCAGGGAGGCAGCCAGGGTAGGAAAAGGCAGCAGATCCACACCCCCTTGCCAACGTAGATGATAAAATTCTACAGATTCCTGTCCAACCTGTCTCTGTCCCGTCTCTTGTCCCCAAGGGCTGGCTATCTGATGGAAGACGCCTATGTTGGAGCTTACAGTCCTACTGTGGAATTGTCACTGAAGCCAACAATAGCTTGTGATGGAAAGGGCATGTGCCAGCCAGAGGCACATAAATCAGGAGCATTTGAAGAGCGGCTCTGGCTCCGGGAGGAGGTTTTTGCTGTTTCCCAAGCCTGGGCCTTTCCATGTAGTGGCGGAGGACTTGCAGGAATTGCTCTCTGCTCTAAGCAGTGCAGCTTTGCCATCATACAGTAGTTATCAAGAGACCAGGTCAAGTAGGTGTGACTATGCCGCCCTCTTGTGGCAGCTCAAGTCTACACCATCTAAGTATTTTCACAGCTTTGGGTCAGCCCACAGCAACCTGTGTGCAGAAGAATGGTGTGATTAGAATGATTTGTTCAGCCCTGTGGGCTCTGTGTTGGCTGTGTGTGTGTTCCCTTGATGGGCTGCTCCATCTCTAGCTAGGTAACCAGTACAGCAGACTCTGTTCGAACTGCCCAAGAAGACCACAGACTCTGCTCAGTAGCTAAGGTGCTCGGCCAGGTTTATCGTCAATGAAGCACGGTCCTAGTGGCCTGACTCAGTGGTTACAGATACATTAACACTCACTGCACTGGACCAGCTTGGTGAACAGTGGTACGTTCTGTTTCCTCCCTCAGCTACAGAAGGACAACCCTTCTCCGGCCCCTCTTTTATACACTAATACAAAGAAGTTATGTATTGCCCCTCTGACAAGTTAGTTACCACCCTTTACCTTGTACCTGCTGGCTCAATCAAAACATCTTTGTCCATCATCCTGATCTTGTCTTTTAGAGAGGTCAGTGTGTCCTCATGTCAGACTTGGGGAGTGTGTTTACACCATAACTTCCTTTCAGGGTGTTCTGCTACTGCCTGTCTAAAACGTGCTTATGTGAATACTTGGTGCCTAGAAGTGCTTGTGTTCTTGCAATGTCAGCCCTGTTCTTGCCAAGTTCCTGAACCAGACAGCGAACCAGCAAGCCAGCATCTGCTTTGTAATGGGGCCTGACTTTTGCTCATAGCTTGACTCCTGCAAACTTTGCTTTATATCAGCACAGTCTCACTTTACATCACAACCCC